GTTGGTGTTGGTGTCTGGGAGTGTAACGGATCTGCATGTGTCATCAACATGCATTTCCGTTGCATTTTTTGTTCAATTTTCGTCAAGTTTTCCATTTTTCTTTCGCCGGTCGGCAACACGTGGTCGGGAGTGTGTGTGTGCGTGCGCTCTTTTATTTCGTGGTGCGCTCCTTTTTTCTCTCTGCTCTTTGAGTGTCCGTCGGATCGCGTTTGACGAGTTTGTTTTGCCCATATCTCCGGCGTGGTTGTTCGGATATAAAAAAGGGTAATTGTTCTATATAGGGCGCGTTTGTCTTTATTTTATTCAACCGGTTACGGGGCGGCAAGGGACGGGGATGGCCTTTCTGAGGTGTTGCAAATAATGCAGCACCCAGGAAAGGCCTTGTAATGTACCGCATTACAATGTATTGTTTGGTCTGGTCCATTTTACAAGCTCATCTGTGGTTGCGAGCTTTGTCCTGGACGGCTTAACTGTGGCAAGGTCTGGTCTGTATCCGTTTTGGTCAATATTTGACGGACCATGTATTTCTCTGGTTACACCCTAGGTTACTCGCTCCTTGAGTAGTGGTGTCGAACGCCTGCGTGTTTTTCTTTCAATATCTGATAGTAATTCAGAGTTGCTGTCAGACCAATTTGACTGTCTAGTACGCATTTTGCGGCGTCTATTGTATGTCGGCGAACGTGGTGCTTGAGCACGGGAATAGTCATCATCTGATGTGATTTGTGCTATTTCCATCTCTCTATTTCTGGTTGTTTGTCTATTGGTACTGCTTGGTTCTGTTTCATTGATTCGATTCAATGTCAATGTTGGCGAAGTTGTATGGAGTTGTTTTGGTGGCGTAGCTTGTCGACGAACGATATCTACGTCGAGTGGTAGATCAATTAGTTGATTCGTGTCTGTTGTCTGTCGCTCGTCGGTTTCTAACTCCTCGCCTGCTGTTGACATTGCATCTGTCGTATTTGTTTATGGGGACTGGTTGGCAGTTTTGTTAGAGTCAGTTTCATGCTCTTCATTCCATAATATTCTAGCGAACGGTGTAAAACTGTCAATTCTTTAACTGCGGGTCATGGATGGATTAGCTGACAGTCTTTGTTCTCGAATCACCCATCACACTAGCTCTAATCGGTCTGTATTTTCGTCGTTCGATATTTGTCATCCTCCTTGGCGTAATTCATTACAAACTTCCTCTTCAGTATTGTCAGCTATTCTATTTGCTATATCTCGGGCTGTTTTGTTTTTCTTTAATATATATAGCAGGTCAGCATTTGATAGTGGCGGTTTAATTGTTGCTCTGGCTGGAATGTCATCGTGAGGAACAACCATTTTTATCAACTTTTTTTTTATCTGTAATCAGTTTCTAAGCTAATTTCAAATTGTTAAATCGGTCAATATCCGTTTGAAAGTAGTCGAAATCCGATACATTCCCAGAATCTGAACTATCAGAATCTGGTGCCAAATCCAAGTTATATACGAACCCTAAACGAACTTGAACCGTTGCAATTTGAAATAATATTTCACGTCAGACTTCAAACTGTCAAAGTTTGTGTCAACGTATTCGTACTGTCTAAGTCTGAACTGTCAGTACTTACAACAGTCGAGTTCAGTTCGCTGTGAATCCGTAATTTATAGCCAGGGTTTTGGAGTTTCGGATTTGACTCTCACGATTATGCAGGATCGGTCAGATTTTATGTACTATCCTGATTTATTTCTGATAACATACTGGTTGTCTTCAATAATACTGTTGTTCAAAAATACTAATTATCAATATATATACTGATGGCCAGAAATACTAATCATCAGTAACTTGTACTGATGGTCAGAAATACTAATTATCAGTATTGTATACTGATGGTCAGAAATGCTGGGTATCAGTAACTTGTACTGATGGTCAGAAATACTAATTGTATAGCGCCTCTTCCTCATGATAAAACATGTAGTCCCTTCGATTCCTATCGACCTGGCCGAAATTCCACAAAGTAAAAAGCTCCAAACCGCTGTGAAGCTAGGTATTGGTGTCATGCACTCTCTTGTTATCAGGCGAGCGGTGACGTTTCCTCATTCGTTCGTTTTGTGTCGAACTGGCCGGTTCGCCACGATCATCCTTGGTAAAAATGGGTCGCAAAAGACGATACTCATCGTCATCATTCTCAGACAGCTCTTATGATGCACGTCTGGAGGATGAACTTCATCGGCTGAAAAAGAAATTGCGAAAAAGACAGGAGGAAAAAGAAGGGAGGAGGAACCATGCCCGTCGCGACCGCCGCGACCGTCGTTGTAAGTACGATTGACGAACATTTTTACAGCGTTTTTCCCTTGGGCTCCAACCCATGTTGCGGAAAAATTCATCAATGTTCAAAATTGCAAACAGGCTCTAACCTGATTATTTGCAATGTATCATAATTTTTTCGTGGGCTCTAACCTATACGAAAAATTGCGATGGCTATCGTCGAAACTCGCAGTATTTGTTTGGGCTCTAACCCTCACAATTACGTTAACAGAACGAGCTGTCGGCGCTAACCGACAAGCTCCGTAACTTGACATCAAGTTACGACACAAAATTAGACATGGTCTAATAGCGACCGATTCATCTGCAGCTAGAAGCAAAAGCTCGTCCCGCAGCAGTGTCATCTCTACGAGCAGTGCCTCGTCGCGCTCGTCGAGAGCATCTCACCGATCCCGTGCCGCCACACACGATGGACATGTGCCGACTCCTGTAGACGATGGCTCGGCACGAAAACCGGACGATTCAACATTAGCTGACGCTCCCGACGAGTCCGTAAGCGGCCAGCCCGTCAATGCAGCCGCAAGCCAATTGACCTCCCGTGCTGAAATCGTGAAGAAACTAGGCAAACGAGTGACTGAAAACAAACAATACGCAGAAGCAGTCAACGAGCCGATAACCTTACGGTGGACCGACATCGTCAAAACTGGTCTTCCCGAGCAAGAACGTTCTGAAATATCAGCGTTATATCCAACGCCGCTAAACAAACCTCTTTGGGATCCAACCAAGCTCAATCCAGAATCCAAGTCATCTGTTACGGAACCGGTAATTGCTCGTGATTGCCGTATTGCTGTTAAACAATCCAAAATTTCAGCTTGCTTGGCCGGCACCGCAAAAGCAATTGAAATGCTTATGGGTCTCGAGGCATCGCAAGCCAACAATTCTCTCTTGGAAATTTTGGGCGATGTTGGCAGTCTAATGACAGATCTACAACACGACGAGACGTGCATACGGCGAAGCTTGATCATCGCAAACTCTAACGTCGCAGTTAGAAAACCGCTAGCTGAGACGGAAATTAGTGCCTTCCTCTTTGGTGACAAGCTCGATGAGTCTGTGAAAACTGCTAAAGCCATCGCAGTAACGTCCGAAGAGTTGAAGCCTAAAAATAAATCTTCAGGACGTTCAAAAAATTCGAAGGGTCCGCCCCGTTATCCGAAGAAGACGAATCGCGGGTCGTCGTCGGGCGGACCGCGCAGTTACCATCGGAGCTCTTACGAGAGGAAGAGTTCGCCGCACCACTCGTCACGGAGGGAGAACTTCAGGAAGGACAACCAGCAGCAGCCACCTCGTCGGCACAAGAAGTAGCTCCTGTAAGTCGTGTTACGGGCAGGTTAAAATTCTTTCGAGCTCAATGGGGTAAAATTACGTCTGATATAACTGTTTTATCGTGGGTTAACGGTTATAAAATTCCGTTTCAGTCAGCTTTGATAGACGGCCACACGTACCGCTGCGTCATCAGCTTCACCGTGGCCTTGATCCCGGGATGCGCGAGGTTATGAATCGCCTCAAAAACTGCTCTCCGGAAGGACTGGGTGATGAAAGGCCGGGCCGTACTTGTAGAGACGTCGCACAGAATTCGCGCGTCGGTGCCGGGAATCTGGACCAATTTCAGTTTAAGGCTGGTGTCCGAAAACTTCAATTGTTGTAGTTCCTCGTCGTCCCGTTGTGCTTTGGCGAGCTTGTCGTAGTCCATTGGTGTAACGACACTTTCTATGCGAGAAAGCGCGTCGGCTACAACATTGTCTTTGCCGGAGATGTGTTGGATGTCCGTCGAGAACTGCCCAATAAAATCGAGATGCCGAGCTTGCCTTGGCGATGCCTTCTCTGGTTTTTGCTTGAAGGCGAAAGTCAGTGGTTTTTGATCCGTAAAAATGGTGAAAACTCGCGCTTCGAGCATGTGGCTGAAATGTTTTATCGATAAATAAATTGCGAGAAGTTCACGATCGTATGCACTATAGCGGGTTTGTGCCGGGCTTAACTTCTTTGAGAAGAAACCCAGCGGCTCCCACCGACCGTCGACCTTCTGCTGAAGGGCCGAGCCGACCGATACGTCCGATGCGTCGCACACCAGCGCTAGGCATGCACCTATCTTCGGGTGTGCGAGGAGTGTAGCTTGTTCGAGGTCGGACTTCGTCTTCTCAAAGGCCTTGGTAGCTTCGTCGTTCCAGACGAGGGGCGCATTTCCTTTGACCTTGCCCTTGAGAAGCTCGTTGAGAGGCGCTTGTGTCCGAGCCGCGTCAGGGAGCAGGTCGCGATAAAAGTTGACCGCTCCTAGAAAACGGCGGAGTTGCTTTGCCGTCTGCGGTTGTGTATAATTCCGGATGGTCTCGGTCTTCTGGTCCGTTGGTCGGATACCGCTGCTCGAGACAGTGTAGCTAAGGAATTCGACCTCCTGCTGGCCGAAAACACATTTGGTGGGATTGACGACTATCCCGTACTGTTGTAGGCGTTCAAATAGCTGTTGAAGGTGCTGGTAATGCTGTTCGTCGTCGTCCGATGCCACCAGGATGTCATCGATGTAGGCGTAGCAGAAGTCCAAGCCACGAAGCATTTCATCGATAAACCGCTGGAATGTTTGTGCTGCGTTGCGAAGCCCGAAACTCATGTACGGAAATTGGAACAGCCCGAACGGCGTGGTGATTGCTGTCTTTGGGATATCGTCCTCAGCGACCGGGATTTGGTTATAGGCTCGGACCAAATCGATTTTTGAGAAAATCCTTTAGCCCCGAAGCCTCTGTGCAAAATCCCTGATGTGAGGTACAGGATATCGATCCGGTATCGTACGTGCGTTCAGACTTCGGTAGTCGCCGCAGGGTCGTTCGTCGGTCTCACCCTTCGGTGCCATGTGTAGCGGCGAGGCCCAGCTGCTGTTAGAAATCCGCGCCGTTCCCAGTTGCAACATCACCTCGAATTTCTCGCGAGCAGACTGGAAACGGTCAGGTGCAAGTCGGCGGGGACGGCTACTCACCGGCGGTCCTGGTGTCGTCTCGATATAGTGGCGCGTTTTGTGGCGAGTCACTGGCGTACGTCCATCGGGCCGCGTGATGTCCGGATATTTAGCGAGCAGTCGGTGATAGTTCGTCGATCCGGTGATGATTTTGATGCTGGGGCCTTCGCAGATGTGAACTTCTCCCCGCGACGTGCGCTTCGTCTCTCGGTCAATCAGCTGGCCCCCTTGAAGGTCGACGAGTAATCCATAATGAGAAAGAAAATCCGCGCCGATGATGGCCTTGGGGACATCCGCGATGATGAATCTCCATAGGTGTGTGCGTCGGAGTCCGAGGTTGAGAGACAATGTCATTGTACCGTACGTCGCAATGGCCGTGTTATTAGCGGCCGAGAGCTCGTACGTCGTCTTCTTGACGGGTCCACGGATTGAAGTGCGGGGATAGACGCAGAGGTCGGCTTCCGTGTCGATGAGGTACCTGATCTGGGTGTCTCGATCGGTAATGAAAAGGCGGCGCGTGTGGGGGTTTTGTGCCGCTCGCCGCCATTAGCGACGGCCTGTCCCGTTTCCCGCGAAACTACAAGGCTTTTTGCACTTCGTCGCCTGGGCACCGAACTTCCAGTGATACCAACACTGGTCATAGCTGTGGCTGCCGCGCGATTTCGAGCGTCCTCGAGATGGTGAGCGGTTCCGCGTTCGCTGGCGTAGCGGCCGCTCGCGATCTTCTCGGGCCTCTCTGCGCACCTCGGCGATCTCCTGCCTGAAAACTTGCGTCAGCTGCGCGATTTGCGCCGTCAGTGCTTCCAACATCGCGTTGGTCGCCGTTGCTACTGCGGCCATCTGCGGCTGTCCGAATTGGAGTGGCGAACTATGCATCGTTTCGACAATGCAATCTGCCAATTCGGCCGTTTTCTCCAGCGCAGTATCCTTTTGCGTGGCTAGTATTGCTTGCACGTTGGACGGCAAGCGGCCCAGCCATAACGTACGCAAAAGTGTCTCCGGCACGCTGGCGCCGACGAGATCGCGTAGATGACGCAAAAACACTGATGGCATACGATCGCCGAGTACCTGGTCTTCCAGTAGCCTGCGTGTCTTGGCGTCCTGAGACACGTTCAGTCGCCTTAGTAATTCCGACTTCGCCGTGGTGTAGGGTGTCTCCGACGGCGGGGCGATGATCAAGTCCTTGATGATGGTGGAGTATCGCGGGTCTAGACAGCCGCTCATGTAGCTGAATTTACTAGACTCGCCCGTAATCCCAGCGCTGGCAAAACTGTGCTCCAGCTGGCTAAACCACAGCTCTGGCTCATTTGGCACATACGGTGGAGCGCGGAAAGCGATCCTATCCATCCCTAATAGGAAATTCGATATCGCTTGTTGGCTCGCGTTGTTCGTTTCCTTTTGCGTTGCAGTGCTCGTCATTCCGATTTTCCACTTGTATCTCACTCAAAAAAAAATCGCGTGTTCGTACTTAGTCTCCGAATATAAGAAATCACGTCGGGGTCACCACTTTAGGAGCGGGGTACGAGATGTGATGTGAGTAGAAAAGACGAGTAAATGATGACGAATTTTTGGTTTATTTTGTTGAAGAATTGTTAAATATGTCTGTTACGGGACTGAGTTTATTCGGACTACATTACAAGTGAAAACGCCCGCTGAGAACGTGTGCCGCGCGTCGTGACTCGAGAGGAACTGTCAGCGGTAGTGCTTGTCGTTGTTTTTATTTGCAATTTTTGGAGGCGTGGAAAGGGAAAAGACAAATATAAAAAATGTAAGGAAAAATGGGTTTTCCCCGGGACGTGCAAGAAATAAAAGGAAGTTCAGGGACAGGATGGAAAACAGGAGAAATTGTAAAAAACTCAGATTTACTGGCGGTTGTAAAAGTGTAGGCGTAATTAGCGTAATGGTGGGAAAATCCCAAAAAGAAAAAAAAAAGGTTACTCAGGTATTTGGAAAGGGATCGGATTGTTTAGGGTATTCGTGTGTATGTGTGTGTGTGTGTGCGAGTGAGTACTGCGTGGCCACCACACCTTTTTATCACTTCCAAAAAATCTTATAAAGCAGCTGAATCTTCAACTTTGAGTCATTGGGTTAAGTACATATTAGAAAAAAGTGGTCTTGATATTTATATATTTTCTGCACATTCTACGCGTCACGCGTCTACTTCAACTGCAAAACGCAAAGGCGTCGGTATAGATATTTTGCGCTCGACAGCAAGGTGGACAGAAACTTCTCAAACTTTCGCAAAATTCTATGACCGAGAAATAATTGTTAATAATAGAGACAGTTTTGCTAACGCGATTCTTAATTCTTGATTTGAAATTTCAATTGTATCAATAATAAAATAATTTTATAATTATTTTACTTTAACTCATTCTTATCAGTTGATAATATTAACAAGGATGAATCAAGTGCAATATGCATATGCACATTATTGAGCGCCGTAACTGCTTTAAACAGCTACATGTTTTATCATGAGGAAGAGGCGCTATACAATCACATGATTAAACGAACTTACTTGTAAGTGAAGTTCTATCATGATTGTATGAGCCTCTTCCGAAATGATAAAACTCCCACCCAGTACTTCCCATTATCTCGAAAATTTCGAGATCCCAAAATTTATACGTTACGGCGGAGCTTTAAACTACTGAGGAAACGTCACCGCTCGCCTGATAACAAGAGAGTGCATGACACCAATACCTAGCTTCATAGCGGTTTGGAGCTTTTTACTTTGTGGAAATTCGGCCAGGTCGATAGGAATCGAAGGGACTACATGTTTTACCATTTCGGAAGAGGCTCATACAATTATGATAGAACTTCACTTACAAGTAAGTTCGTTTAATCATGTGATTATCAGTAACTTGTACTGATGGTCAGAGATACTAATTATCAGTATTGTATACTGATGGTCAGAAACTATGCTGAAAATAAACTTATTAAATAGTTATTTCAATTTCAACATTTAATTACATAAACATGCCTATAATGAATTATTAGTTACATATAATGAACATATATAAAATAATTATCAATATATAGTGATAATAATAGGGTTGTCTGACTAATTCACAAATTTCTGATCGGCAACTATACGCGAAATTTAAAGTTGGGCGCCACTTGTGGCGGGGGATTTCGGGGGCCTTAACCGCGCTACCGAATCTCTTCCGCCACAAGGCTTGTTTGATTTCTTATCCCCGATTAGGGCGCCAGACCGCCGTTTGACTAGGGCGATCGTCGGGGATAGTGCCTAAAAGGTTCGCGTATCCCGGTTTGCTTTCACGGCGACTGCACCGGATGGGCAAACAGGTGATTACTCGCGATCTCCTCTGCTCCATGCCTCGGTGTCCAACAATTCGTTTCCTATTTGTCTCCTCGCTTATGGTATGCCGGCAGCTCAGATGATGACTCCTTATTTCAGGTCGAAAGTCCATTCGAATTCGCGCGTATGTTACCTATCGTAGGACCCGAAAATATAGCGAATCAGCGTTACCCGATTATAACCGCTCGTGGCTGAAAATAATCAGCATGCAAATAAGGCAGGGTGACAAAAGTAAAATTTATATAAAGAACAATTGATCACTTTTATTAATTTATTTTATAATGCATAAGCAGGTGGTCGGATTAATTAGGGTCAGTATGATTCCGTATAATTATGAGAAATAACAAGAACACGAAATAATCGAAACTAGCATTCTTCCGGTCGGTCTTTAATTGACGAAAATGGCGGAAGAGTCAGCGGAAATAACTAATTCACGGGTTTCAATTCGTCCACTTCCAATATTCGCAATAAGTTACTATGTTGGCGAAAGGTCAGCGCGAATACTTTAAATTACGGGTTTTAATTCGTCTACTCCCGATATTCGCAATAAATTACTATTTCGGCGAAAAGTCAGTGCGAATAATTTAATCACTGGTTTTCTTTGTCTGATCTTAACACTCACGTTCGATTCTGTGAAATGGCGGACAGGTTAGCGCGACTAATAGGATCAATGATTTATTCAACTAAGCCTACATCCGCAATAACTAATATCTTGCGAAAGGTCAGCGCGAATTAACTAATCACTGTTTTTCTTTCGTCTGATCCTAACACTCACGTTCCATTCTACGAAATGGCGGAAAGGTCAGCACGAATTAGTAGGCACCGATATTGACGGATCCACGCGTCGCGACAACCTACTACAGCGAAAATTCCACTCCCGCACTCCGCGATTAATACTAATAAGTGGCACTTTGCTTACTTACGGTTTTCCTTGCTGATATTCGGCGAACGAAATTGGCGTGAGAAAACAGTGATAAGCGCAAATAATTCTGCTGTCTGTCTTACTCGCTCTCAGTAGGTCTCGCTCGCTCATGCTCAGTTCATCTCGACGTTTCAAAATGGCCGCTCGGTCTCTCGCGTGTACACCTCGTGTTCTCGTAACAGTCATTGGAGCGCCTCCTGGGGCGCTCCCGTGTCGGTCAAGTGACGTGTCCCCGGGTATTTATGTGTGTTTACCGTTGTTAGTGTGTGCGGCGCTCAGGATGTCGCCGATGGTGTTCGGCAGCTCGACACAGCTGATTGCCGGCTGCCACTTCATCGGCGATTTTCTGCTTGCCCCAGGTGTATCAGTGCTCTGTGAGTGTTGGTGTTGGTGCCTGGGAGTGTAACGGATCTGTATGTGTTATCAACATGCATTTCCGTTGCATTTCCCAGTGAAGTTTTCCGTTTTTCTTTCGCCGGTCGGCAACACGTGGTCGTGAGTGAGTGTGTGCGTGCGCTCTCTTATTTCGTGGTGCGCTCCTTTTTTTTTTTTGCTTTTGAGTGTCCGTCGGATCGCGTTCATCGCTTATTTCGTCAATATCTCCGGTTGTGGTATTCGGGCATGAAAAGAGTTAATTGTTTGTTTTAGTGCGCGTTTATTTACATTTTATATAATTGGTTACAGGGCGGCAAGGGAGGGGAACGGCTTTCCTGGGGTGTTGTAGATAGTGCCACAATCAGGAAAAGCCTTGTAATGTACCGCATTACAAAATCTGTTGTCAGACCATATATATATATATATATATATATATATATATGGGTAATTCTTGGCTATTTCGATTGACTTGTAACCCTTAGGTTACGGATTTTTTTTTTCATTTGGCACAATTGTTGTACACATAAAACTGAGATTTTTCCCAAATTTTGGAGACGATACATTAATAATATCAAAAGTTATTAACAATTAAAGAAAAATGATAAAAAATTTTCAAACGGCTATATTTTAAAAACTAATAAAGATATCGAAGTCGGATTTTTTTCAAAATACTTATAATGCCTTAAAATTTCGAAATAATTACAACAATAAACAATAAAAAAATTTTTTTCGAAAGTTATTAACTTTTTGTTTAAACAATTGCTAATATCTCAAAAAGTATATTTTTTTTTTGAAAAATTCTTGCTCCTACGTATTCCTGAGGATTTTTGCTATCGAAATCAATCATAAAATTCAAGGCCCCGACATATCAGAAAGGTACTTTAGCTTTAATCTAAAAAACTAATAAAGATACCGACGAATAATGAAAGATAATAAAGACGCCGAGGCGTCTTCTTTTGATTAGGACTACGCTTTCCGATATGTCGGGCCCTTGAATTTTATGAATGATTTCGATAGCAAAAATCCTCAGGAATACGTAGGAGCAAGAATTTTTCAAAAAAAAAAAATATACTTTTTGAGATATTAGCAATTGTTTAAACAAAAAGTTAATAACTTTCGAAAAAAATTTTTTATTGTTTATTGTTGTAATTATTTCGAAATTTTAAGGCATTATAAGTATTTTGAAAAAAATCCGACTTCGATATCTTTATTAGTTTTTAAAATATAGCCGTTTGAAAATTCTTTATCATTTTTCTTTAATTGTTAATAACTTTTGATATAATTAATGTATCGTCTCCAAAATTTAGGAAAAATCTCAGGTTTATGTGTACAACAATTGTGCCAAATGAAAAAAAAATCCGTAACCTAAGGGGTACAAGTCAATCGAAATAGCCAAGAATTACCCATATATATATATATACTATGGGCGATGTTCTTTGAAACAATTCATCAAACCCATCAGATTTGGTATAAAAAAGAGATTTTGATATATACTGTGGAAAAAATGGCAAAAGCAATATAATATATATTTCTTTTCAAATATATATTTCTCTTGGTAGTCGTATCGTAATTCAAATTATATTTTGATAACTTATTTTGTTCTACCGATCTTTTGGTTCATTTAAGAAAACTAGGACTGCGATGTACTGAAACAGTTAGACAGGACAGAATACCTGCAAATCACAACATTGTTAAAAAGAAAGATGAACGTGAAAATTATGAAGTTAGCGTGATAAGAACAACGGTATCAATTGTATTACAGTGATGGATTCTAAGTCAGTCTCAGTATTGTCTACTGCAGCTGGT